AGGAATTGAAAAGAAACTGACAGGAAAAGCAGTTACAGACATTCTAATTAACACTGAAAAGTGCAATTAAATTATTTGCTTAAAAATGGGATTGAAAGTAAAAGTATGGACCAAGATGATCAAACACTCTATGGAACACAACTTCCCTGTTCCCAGAAGACATCTGCAGAAAACTGTTAGGGTTGAAAAACACAGACACGCACCTGAATTTCTGTCCTTGAAGTTTTGCTTTTTTCCTTAAAGAATCAGGAAGTATTGATGGAATAATTTCTCTCAGAAAATTGAAGTTGTTTGTTAGAGCCCAAAATGAGGTGGATTGTAAGTGATCCGAAGTGATCCGATTGTAAGTGTACGAAGGTGTGGTTAATGAGCTGAACACCCTTTCCTTACAATTTGATGTTTTTTGCAAGTGAAAAGTGAATGCATTTGGGATGAAATCTCCATCGGTTTTGTAACACTTTAGGGGAGCTCATGGTCACAATGACCTGATGTAAGCAGTTGACCATTTGCTAGCAATCTTCAGATAGTTTGCTGAGTTTAAGATGTGATAATCTTGCTGTGATGCACTAATTAAAGAAAGAAAATACAAGATGCGTCACAGATGAGAATGTTTTGCCAATCCCAAAGGCGTTCTCTCAAATATAGGAGCATGGATTCTACCATTTTGGGGGAGTGGACTGTTCATCCCTGATGTCTTGCATCCTTTGGTGGTGGTTCTCAGTAGTAGCTGCTTCCTGTCACTTGTGAATGACGTCCATTTTTGTTATGCTGTCTATGCTACCTAGAGGTCACGTTCATAGGATACTCTTCCTTTAAACACAGTACCCATAGCCCTTCTCTCATGCACTATATCTCACCCTGTAGGCATGCAATCTCTTATCAGAAATGAAAATCCAGTTGATGTTGTATCAAATCTTTCTTTCATTCCAAACCAAATAATTGTATGAATGAATCTGGCAATAGAACGTGGATAAATGCAATGTGCCAACCGAATACGTTGGATCGAGTATGCCATAGAGCAGAGTATATAACTTGGAAGGAACAGGTTTACTCGCCTGCTAATCCCACATTTTTGAGTTCTTATTACTGCAAGTTTAGCATGGGGTTAACATTCACCTCCTTCAGGGGTCCTTGATATGCTATCATCACATTAATGTTGTCTGTGTTGAATTTGCCATCATGGTTTTCAATAGGGGCTGATATTTAAATTTGTACCTCAAAGTATTATTTTCTTAGGTTTCTAAATGATCTCTCCTCTCTTCAAATTTCCAGATGTCAATGAATGCGATGACAACAATGGCGGCTGTCAGCAAATCTGTGTTAATACCATGGGTAGCTATGAATGCCAATGTAAAGAAGGATTCTTTCTGAGTGATAACCAGCATACCTGCATCCATCGATCCAATGGTGAGTCTGATTGTGCCAGAGTAGATGCTTGCATCACCTAGGCTGGGAAGGAGGGGAATGAGAAACAAATGTGCTATTGAGGTTGATGGCTTTCATGCCATCTTGTGTTAGAGTTCTGTGACTAAGTACAGAGTAGAATCCAAGTTTTGTGAGAAAATTGTCCTGTTGCTGAACAAAACATTTTTTTTCAGTGATTTATTAAAAATATTGATGCAGCGTGACAGTTTGATTTTTACCCTGTTTTGAGATAACAGTTGCAACTGAAATATATATAAAAAACTTCATGTTCTGAGCAGCTTTTGAGAGTTATAATTTGAGATGCAGGTAAAATAATCATGTACAAACTGCATTAATGAGGAAATTTTTTTTTGCTTTATTGTTGGTATAAATTGTTCACTTAACGATGTGCACAATGTCATTTCAAGGCTTTATAAGGTTGAGTACGATTTTAACTGGTGTGTTCAAAGTTTCAGGTCCTAAGTTTCAGTAGTATGCTTTGACTTTCTCTGTACAAGTGTGATTGCTGGAACATTGGTGAGTCTTAGTGATCTATGCACCAGTCTAGCTACTTATGCCTGCGGTCATACAGATTTGCAACCCTCTTCTGTACCAGTTGCTCTGAAGAGTTATGTTTTCCCTCTCCTACCTTCAGTTATCCTGCAAGGTGCTTGAATGTACTATTCTTCTTTTAAAACAAATGTTGCCAACTGCTGCCTCAGTGTGCATTTAAGTGAACTTTTAATTTTTGTTTCAACGCTTGTGCTTTTTGGACTGTGAAACGGCTGTCTTGAATTTTTAATTATTTTAATCAACTAGCAGCAATGACCCTGCAAGCTTTTCTTCAAGTTCCCCTTTTTAAATACGTGTTTTTATTTGTCCCTTGATACAAACAGGAGAGATTGTTGCACCATTTTTGTAAGACAGCAACGCGTTAAAAAAATTTCCTTTTCATACAGTAGGATTACTTCTGACAAAAGTTTGGACACTAAGGATCTGTATTACTGTGAAATGCAGTGGAATAGTCCACAGGGTGTGTGAAAAATTGTTTAAGACTCCATAAAATAATTGAACACATTCATAGCTTCATAAATTTCCTTTGCGCATTGCGGTGTGAATGTACGTATGATGTGTCTGGCTGTCTTGTAGAAAATTGTATATTAACTCGTCCATTCTTCAATGTCAGTAAAATAGATTTTGAAGTTTCTGTGTATATGAAACTATTGCATGTTTAAAACATAATGAATGGATAAGTGAAGTGTTGTATATTGAAGTTTGCATTTAATTCTTGATTTCAAAGTTATCAGGAACCAAAGTCACTTTATTTTTTCCTTTTTTTATAACTAATATTTGGAACTAAACCTACCGGTTGTTGTGGTTTTCTGTTTTGAAGTACGCAAGACAAGTTGCACCAATATTTGGCATCAGCAGGTTTCTGGGTTGGATGCAAATGTGCAGGGGTCAGGACCAACAGCACTTGCCAGCAACAGGACCTGCTCATTGATCCTCACAGGGATTCCCTCCAATGGGCCTGCTTTTCCAATTGGCAGTTCAGAAGCTTCAGTAGTGCCACTGGGATTGGTGGGCACTGTTGAGGCTTCAAAGAGACTGAGACACCTTGGTTGACTGAGTTAAATTTAGAAAAATCAGTTTGTCTGAGGGCAGAATGCTCCACGGATCATAAGAGCAAGCCCCCACCCCAGGGAGCTTGTTAGGGGCTGGTGTTCCTGCCTGCAGCCTTTTCAATGGGCCTTGGAGCATCCCCTTCTGATATTTTATCCCAAGCTGCGACAGGGAGGTTGCATCCCTGAATTTTGGTGCCTTTGGGGAAACTGGCAGATTATCTCAACCTGATTCCTTGGTGTTTTACCAGCCTTCTCGCCTCTTCTGCTACCGTCCAGGGGCTAGTAAAATGCAACCCAACAACACTCTCTCTCACCACCCATTGTAGAACCATAGAATCTCTACAGTGCGGAAAGAAGCCATTCAACCCATCAAGTCGACACCAACCCTCCGAACAGCATCTCACCCAGACCCAGCCTCCTCCTATATTGCAGTAATCCCACATTTCCCATTGCCAACCCATCTAGCCTACGCATTCCGGAACACTATGGGCAAGTTTAGCGTGACAATCCACCTGACCTGCACGTTTTGGACTGTGGGAGGAAACTAGAGCACCTCGAAAGCCATGCAGACACAGGGAGAATGTGCAAACTCCGCACAGACTGTCACCCAAGGCTGGAATTAAATCCAGGTCTCCGGCACAGAGAGACAGCAGTACCAGCAGGTTAGGTGGATTGCCCATGCTAAATTGTCTGTAGTGTCAAGGGATATGCAGGTTAGGTGGATTAGACATGAGAATAGGGAGGGTCTGGGTGGGATAATCTTTGGAGGATCGGTGCAGACCTGATGAGCTGAGTGGCCTCTGTCTGCACTGCAGGGATTCCAGTTCAAGCAAGTTTGTCTGAGTAAAGGAGGAATTGTTCAGCTTGTAAGGAGAAGGACTGCTGACTGAGGATTTGAATCTATTGTATGACTGATCTTAATAACAGATCAGTGTATTATGCTCGTTGTCTGTTTCTCGTCTGTAAGGCAGCTGTTGAAAATTGTAATAATATTAACATTTCCCATTCAATTAATCATGTGGGCAAACCAAATCGTGCCTAATGTTAGACAACAA